GGAAAACATTCCAATAAACTTTTTTTTAAAGGTTGAAGGTTCGACTTGTTGGACTTTGTAAATTTGAATATAATTTGTCAAGATATATATAGATTATTGCAATAAAATAAACAATATTGTTCAATGTTCTAGTGGTGTGGAGATGATCTTTTTTCCATGAGAGTAAAGGTTCAAAACTTTGAACCTTCAAATTTTTTTTCATTTATTTGATATACTTTTAAATAATTTGGTCAAATGCCATTTAAACAAAAACTAACTTCATTCTTACAAGGGTTCGTAATTTCTTTCTTCTCTCAGGGAATTCGAAATTACCTGAACAAATGAGACATATCTGTAAGTATAATTATCATACCTTCAATTTCTTCATTTTGTTTGTGGGGGTGAAATTCTAATGCCTGAGATTTTTTTGGAACTTCAAATTTTTTTCTATTCACAAACAAATTTTAACGAAAATTAATTCAAAGATATAATCTAGACTTCATCTTTTCCAGTTTGTGAAGTGTTGTGTTTTCTTTTTCTCAGAAAATGGGCACTGGTGCATCGAAAAATCCTGATAGCAGCTCCCATGGCAGCGAACAGAGGGACCAAGCCGGAGGTCAACTCTATGTCTCTATCAGAATGGAAAATTATAAGCTCAATGGCGATATCATACCCCATGTTTACGGCTCCGTACCACTTGTTGGCTCCTAGGACTCCTCAAAAGCCGTCAGTTTGTATCGTCTTCCCCAATTTTCAAGTTCAATTACTTCAGCAGTTCAATTTATTTGAAAGGTTATCCGATTAGAGTACTGTTTTCCGATTAGAGTACTGTTGTTTTTCAGTTTCGCATATTATTATGCATTTTGTTGATAAATGTTTCTGGGCTTAAAATTGCAAACACGTTGCTGGTTTAACTTCTATTTTATTCTAAAATTAATCACATGACTTTTAGTTGTGTTTTTGAAAGTAAAAGTAATAGAATTGCTTGGCTATACGATATTCTAAAAGATTCGTCCTATGTAAATAATGCATTAGTTTTGTGAAAAAAATGAGCATTTCTGCAAATTTCGATGGTGTAATCAATGCATCAACAGGCGTTATAAGTCGCGCAACTCAGCAATTTCATTAATTTCGAAAGAACGGCGGTAGACAGAGTTCTTGAGCTGTAAAAAGAATGAAAGTTAATTGACTAATTTGAAAAAAATTAAAATTCAGTGATTAATTATGTTTTCAACTCAAATGTTGCTGGGTCTGGTGTTTTTGTAATTTTTATTGGTTGAAATTTGTTGGTGATTCTCCTTCTTTTAGTTGCTAATTTATTTTTGTAAAAATCAGCTTTCGATGGGACGTGAATACACCTTTATGTGGGTATTAAGTTTCGTTGTCCCTCCTAACCACGGTAAATACACCCAACATATAAGAACGATATTTTTCTCCATTTTAGTATTCTTGTAAAATTGAAGATTTCTCATCTCTGTCTCTGATGGACCCAGGAATCTAAGTATTTGTAAATATGAAGCTTCTAAACTTGGTAATTGTCTTTCTTATAATAATTAATTAATTGTCCATTGCTGTCTTTCTTACCTAGCAGTACTTTTAAATGGTTTTAGTCCTTTGTTCGGGAATAGCTTATTGCAAAAAGACAAATAAACAATTGAAGGGAGGGGAATTGGTGAATTAGTTTTCATTGGTAATTGATTTGCTTTTATATGCTATTTTGCATCAATTGGGGGAGGCATGAATGCGTTTTATATATACTTCTTATTCTGTTTGTGATTTTTTTGTCCAACAAGCTGTTCAATAAGATTAATTCAATGTATACAAAAATCAAAAATTAAAACACTGGTGATCCATATCAATAATTCATTTGCTTCAAACAGTCTGCATAAAGATATTGATAGGTTGTTGATTGTTTCGTGAAATAAATGCTAATTATTTGTTTATTTGTGCGCTCGAAAGCAAGTTGTTCATTTAGGATAAAGACAACAAGATTAAACATTTGGTCGTATTAAGAAGAAGACATCAGTTATTTAATTTGTATTTGACTAAATATGTGGCCAGGTGGGCAAGGGTTTGTCTAAAGATGCCAAGGCACAAAAGTTGGCTTTTCAACACTGGATTGAAGCTGTGAGTTACTCTTTTCTGGGCCGGAATTAAAGTACCAATTTTTAATTGCAAGCTACGTTCTATTGATATCGGATACTATCTGTTATATTTGGTAATGGCTCTTTGATTATGAGAATTTTGTGTTGTTGGATTTCATATTTTCATTTGTGCACTCTCAATCTAGATTGATCCGAGGCATCAATATGGGCACAACTTGCATCTTTATTATGAAGAGTGGTGTAAGACTAATGCTGGTCAGCCCTTCTTCTACTGGTGAGAAAACTTTGAATTAATTGGATGCCATCAATTTCTACTTTTGAGCGTCTTTTGATATTGTCTAGGGTCATAGTTTTTCATCTAAGCTGGTGAAGTATATGATGTCTCATGTATAGTTGCTGTTAATGAGTTGAGTGAGAGGATTGAATGCATGATCATGAATATTTGTATTCATTATAAACTTATCTTGTAAGTTCCATGATACTTACAGAATTTTTTTGACTAAAAATGTAACTGAAACTTGTATCAGTGTTCTTTCCTTTTCAAGTGTGGTAGTAGGGCAGGATTTTTGCGGAATATATTGATCGGTTCTTCATTTAGGATTTATTTATTTGTTTCCTTTTATCTAAATTTTAATGTTCTTAAGTTAACAAGTTGTTAGTAATAAGGAATTTGCACATTTTTCTATTTTTATTTTCCATAATAGTCGGTTTGTTGTATTTTTGTTATTTTGTGAGCGATTCATGCTTTACGTGACGATTTTATTCAAGTTTTATGTAGCTTATAAATGTTTTGAAAAGTTTGGTACTTCTGGTGTTTTCTTCTTTTCTTATTTGGGTTATTTACGTGTTAGCGTATCAGTCTAAATAATTCATTTTCTCTTAAGTTTTGGCTTTTAACAAAGAACTACAAATTGAATGAGAGCTCTTCGATTATCGTACTATAGAAGAAAATTTTAAATTGGGCTTTCTTTGCTTGTCAGTGTATGATTAGTATTCAGTCTTTGTTCTTATTTTCTTATTTTTTTTTTCTCATTGTAATCCTTTTCTTTTCTTTACCCTCTTATCCCTTTTTTTTTTTTGATCCATTTTCTTTTGTCATGATATTTCTTGTAAAGTCTGAAGCTTTATTTATGTGTTTCTGTAGTTGGATGATTTCCTTTCGAATATTTTACTGTTGAGCACTGAAGATGATTTCAATTTTCGTATTTTCAATCTCCAACCGTAAATTTTTTGTTGCCGATTGTTGAATCTAATGATTTTTAGTTCTCCTTGTTTCTACATTTATTGCATTTTACTCTTTTAAATTTTTTCCTTCCGATGATCTTGGATTGATAATTGAAATAGAGGTTATTACAATTATTTTTTTGGTATTTAATACATAAACCATGCTCAATATATCTTTACTTCACTGCCAAGTTAATAAAACAGCATGGCATCTCAAATTGATTTACGTTGTCATTGAGTTTAAATAAAGTTTATAGAATAATTTTTACGATGTTCATGACATTGTGTTCCTTCATGTCTACTGATTGGAACTCATCACCCTATCTTCAAATCTCACATGTTGCTTTATTTGTTTGATTCATTCATGCCCGCATTTCTTTGGGGATTTTTGATGGGGCAATCAAACATCTTTTGTGTATTACAAATCAAATAGTCAAGTCAATGCTAAAATCTACTCACTGAGAAATAATGTACGAGGTCAGAGAAGGTCTATAGTTTGCAATGATTGATTGTAAATTGGAGGCTTTAGAACTTACGGTTAGCATGGGATTCTTATCTTCTACATTGTGTCTGATATGAAGTCCACTTCCACAGCAAATGTATTCTCCTCGAAAAACCCTTCTTTTGTCAAACAACGGCAGAGAATTGGGATTGGTGGGTAGGGGTATCCAAAAGTCCCGAACCGAACCGAATCGAGCGGTTCTTCATAAATTAAATACCCGAACGGGTACCCGAATTGAGAACCGATAGGTTTGGGTCGGGTCTCGGGTCTAGACCATGAGGCATGAATGCGTTTTATATATATTTCTTATTCTGTTTGTGATTTTTTTGTCCAACAAGCTGTTCAATAAGATTAATTCAATGTATACAAAAATCAAAAAGTAGATACTAAAATTAAAACATTGGTGATCCATATCAATAATTCATTTGCTTCAAACAGTCTGCATAAAGATATTGATAGGTTGTTGATTATTTCGTGAAATAAATGCTAATTATTTGTTTATTTGTGCGCTCGAAAGCAAGTTGTTCATTTTCTTTTGTCATGATATTTCTTGTAAAGTCTGAAGCTTTATTTATGTGTTTCTGTAGTTGGATGATTTCCTTTCGAATATTTTACTGTTGAGCAACTGAAGATGATTCCAATTTTCGTATTTTCAATCTCCAACCGTAAATTTTTTGTTGCCGATTGTTGGATCTAATGATTTTTAGTTCTCCTTGTTTCTACATTTATTGCATTTTACTCTTTTAAATTTTTTCCTTCCGATGATCTTGGATTGATAATTGAAATAGAGGTTATTACAATAATTTTTTTGGTATTTAATACATAAACCATGCTCAATATATCTTTACTTCACTGCCAAGTTAATAAAACAGCATGACATCTCAAATTGATTTACGTTGTCATTGAGTTCAAATAAAGTTTATAGAATAATTTTTACGATGTTCATGACATTGTGTTCCTTCATGTCTACTGATTGGAACTCATCACCCGATCTTCAAATCTCACATGTTGCTTTATTTGTTTGATTCATTCATGCCCGCATTTCTTTGGAGATTTTTGATGGGGCAATCAAACATCTTTTGTGTATTACAAATCAAATAGTCAAGTCAATGCTAAAATCTACTCACTGAGAAATAATGTACGAGGTGAGAGAAGGTCTATAGTTTGCAATGATTGATTGTAAATTGGAGGCTTTGGAACTTACAGTTAGCATGGGATTCTTATCTTCTACATTGTGTCTGATATGAAGTCCACCTCCACAGCAAATGTATTCTCCTCGAAAAACCCTTCTTTTGTCGAACAACGGCAGAGAATTGGGATTGGTGGGAACGGAGCTTGGAGTTCAGGACTACACTGAGATTTTCTTCGGCTCGCAGCGTGGATCGACCATTCCAGTTCTCAATATTTCAAGTCTGGATCAACGTGCTGGGTCGGGTGATTTTTGGAGCTCGAAGCTTGATTACTCCAATACTCTAGGTGGCTTTAGGGATGAGGAATTAGCTATACCGTACGAGCAGTTGTTTGCTAGATGGAGAACGAGAAAAACCTCTTCTAATAAACCAAGGTGAGTTTATTTGCTGCACCATTTTTTTTGCCTTTTTTCCTATTTGCTAAATCTGGATTTTTTTTTATGTATTGATTGTGAAAGTGATTTGAACTTTCATTATTGCTAAATCTGGCGGTTTTGTTATCTTTGATTTAATATTTCAACTTTTTTTGCTTAGTTGAAGCGGCTTATTCTTTGATCCGTAGTGTCAAAAAATTTATAGCGACAAAATTTGCATCTTCATTGTGCATATTCAATCATTTCTGTACTTCACTAATTAAACGAATTAAGTTTTTTCTTTAATTGAGATTTTGATTTTTTTTTTTACTGCATACAGTTCGTACAATCATGAGCTAAAGGATTATTGCAAAGACAAACTTGATAAAGATCCAATCTAAGTGCGGAATTGAGGCACGTGCTTGCCGTGTTAGTTGACCTCACTGCTGAAGAGCTTGATGCAAAGATCAAGTAATATGACATTTCAGCTCCAAATACTCAGAACCCTCCTCTGACCCCTACCCTTTCAATCTCATGTTTCAGACGTCAATATGTCAATATCCATCCTCTACTATTTACACCAACTGTCTCCTATCTGTCTTCCACTATTTCCCATTTTATCCCCCATTATTTATTGTTGTTTTTTTGTAAAACATTTGTCATCTTCATTTTATCAAAACAAAAGGGTAATATAGACTTGTATATACGCTAACATAACCTCAAAAATAAGACAGCCCATGCGTTGCATGGGCCAAAACTAGTATATATATATATAACTGATCTCCTAAGTATTGGTACTTGGTCGATTGACACAACACTACAATAGGAGGTGAGAGATATATATACGCTAACATAACCTCAAAAATAAGACAGCCCATGCATTGCATGGGCCAAAACTAGTATATATATAAAACTGATCTCCTAAGTATTGGTACTTGGTCGATTGACACAACACTACAATAGGTGGTGAGAGATAATTATTGATTACAAAATTTATTGCACTACATGTTGTAATATGTCACGTCACCTAGTGTTTAGCATAAATTAAGTACTGATACTTAGGAGATCAATTTCGTAATTATAAATATAATTTAATTGATGAATAACTAATAAATTAGTTAGTTTCGCCAACTAACGATTTTTAGTAATTTTTGTGCTCAAGTTAAGTTGCTTAAATTAACTTGCATATATAAAATGTGATAATTTAATTCTATGATCGGACAATTGGGACTATTGATCAATTTCTCGTGGACTTGAGTTTTTCGTATTTGAGTGTATGAGTACTAGACTAGCATAATTGTCAGGTATTATAATCTGACGGTTCAATCTAGTAATAAGAAGCGAAAGAGCAAATCACAACTCGCAATTGATTGAACAATTTCTTGACTTTCTATTAGAGGAATCCTAAAGGAGAATTTAGAAATATAAAAAATACCGAAGTTTTAAGCAAGTAATATAATAAATGTATTGATATAGAAGATTAATTCATAAAACGCTAGATATTTGGAAAAATGATGCTTAATTGTAAAACATTCGACTCATAAAATCAAGTCAACATGACCGCAAAAAAAAAAAAAAAAAAAAGTTTAAAAAAAAAGCACTCTTTCGCCTACAATTTATTGAAAACAAAGGAATGTCAAAATTGATGTAAGAGAATGAGTATACATCATTATTCTAAGATTAATATATGTATTTTTAGCTTTTCAATAACTTCTCTCATGAGAATTACAATTTTCCAAATAAAATCAAATTTGCAACTTTTTTGGTGCCATAATGAAGTACAATTCTACTTTCTTCTAACTCCGTAAGTATCTGAAGAAACTAACCCGATTCGATCACAATTTTCTCCACTATCTTGGCATACGCTACACAACTCTAGATAACTCTAGTTTCAATCCTTCATGATTTTCAACGAAAGTCAAATCCACGAGGGACGATTAAGTCCATGTTTGGCACCCATTATTTTTCTCTTTTTTCATTTCAACCACACATTTTTCAAATAAAATAATATTACACACAAATTTAAAACTTTTCATTATTTTTCCACCACTCATTCTCCAATCGATTACTATTCCAAAAATTTTCATTCCATTAAAATAGGTGTCAAACACTCGATAATTATTTAGGATATTCTAAAGTTATGGTTGCAATGAAGACGCACGAAACTCAAAAGTCGATAAATTATTTTGTCTAAAGACATATGATAGTAGAGACATAATTATTTATTTTTTAAAATTTATCTTCAACATGACTCCAATCATACTTATTTTTAATTAATTTAGGGCCTGTTTGTTTTTTATTCTCAAATTCTACAGTAAATCAATTCTTATTTTCAACCACATATTCTTCAATAAAATAATATTTTCCATCACATCAATAATTTTTTCTTCTTTTTTAACTACACATTTCCCATCATATCACTATTCAAAAATTAATTCTTCCCCCAAAATTCTCTACCAAACAAGCACTTAATGATGTGAGCGCAATATCTTATAAATGAATGTGAGTCTTAAATTCAAAAGTATGTATATATTTGCTTAGGCAAAAGTTAATCTATTTCATTTTAGATAATTTATATTTTACGAGTTAATCCACATTTTCGGGGGTAATGGTTAAACATTTGAATTGATTAAGATAGAATTCATGATGTTTTTATCATCGTTATCAGATTGCCCATCACTAATTTATTTCCTCGTATATGTTATATACAGATAAAATTCGTGTAAAATGAGTTGTGTTTTTGTCGAAATCATCAAAATTGGGTTGGTTTTTGTCTTAATTTGAACGATATTACGATTTGAGTGCCTAACTTTTAAAGTTCGACTCAGGTCTAAAAAATCTAAGATCCGACTTTGATTGTTTGACTGATATTTGGGAGTGCTTGGGTGAAGAATACAAGTGAAAATACAATTAAAATTTTTCTTTTCTTATTTTTCAGTTTATTCGAGTTTTTTTATTAACCTGATCGATTTTTCGGACCGATTAGACGTATTCGGTAGATATTAAAAATGAAAAATTAGTATTTATTATTGACTTTTATTAGACGAATGAGATCCAATAATGACTATATTTTCAATTTTAATTGGATTTTTATCTTTACCAAACAAGCACTAAAGGTCGAAGATTCACGTGCCAAAAAATAGTTGGGGATAGAAGTACAGGGATGGTGTCTGCAATTTTCCTGAATTAAAACCCTCTAAACCCAGGGTATGAGTGCTTTTCTGGGTTTTTTAAGGCAACATCAATACATCATTTTCAAATCCCAGCGTACTTTTTTCGCTTGCAGAATCAGACGCCGATAAATGGGAGAAGAAGGGGCGGATGCGGAGCATCAGCAGCCGAATCCGGATACTGAATTTACAGAAACACCCTCCAATGGCGCGTACTCTTGGCCACTGGTTCACTACGATGCTCATCCTTACAGAACCTACCATTTCTTCAAGCAATTCCGAACTGCCGTGTCAAACCCTAACAACTTTCTTAAAGGCGTCAAGTGGTGATTTTACAGCCTCAATTTTAACCTTTTACCTCGTTTCCACGAATTATCGCTGTGATTTTATTAATTTGCTATAGGGGTTTTGATTTGTAGGTCACCAGATGGTTCTTGCTTCCTAACCTGCTGTGACGACAATACTCTCCATGTTTTTACATTGTAAGTCTATCGATCAAAATAGTGAAAGTCTAGATGATATTCTATGATATTGTAATTCGATCCTTCTCAAATAGTGTTTCCCCCTCCCTTTAGGCCTTATGATGACAGCATTAGCTATGTAAATACATGCGCTTCAGCTCCAGACGAAGGTAACTCTTTTACTCTTACATACCTTACTTCCATATATGTGAATTTTTTTGGTCGTGTTTGGTTCCGAGCAATTGGCGTTCAAGAATTGAAATTAGAAGAAAGTAATCTCAATTGGAATTAAAAATTCTTCCCTTTATATCTGAATGAATTTTTCCCCCATTATTTTCAATTCTAAAGGTCTAGTTCCAAGCATCCAAATGATGCACAATCTTTAATTTTTTCTAACTTTAATTGAATTTGGATAATATAGAACTCCGATAGACAAGTTCCATGCAGCCAAACTTATTGTTCAAACGTTCATGAGAGCTTCTGACACCTCAAGGCTATAGCATGATTTTTTCTAGAACGAGGATCTTTTGGTGGAGGGAACAAACAATGTTGGTAATGTTGAATGCCACTTGTGTGGAACCTGTTACAACTTGTATTGGGTTCTCTGAAGTGTTATGCTGGAATGGCTCAGAATGATAAATGTTAAGATTAATATATAATGAAGGATGATGTTAATGTGTGTATGTCAAAGAAATACATAAAATCCCTACCAGGTTTTCATTTAACTTGAATATATGCTGACCGTCTGGGGTTACATATAATTTGGTCTCATGACACTATTTTTCAAAATTTCTGTGTCTGCTGAAACCATTTAGCTTGCTTGCAGATTCATATGTGGCAAACCTTGTTGCACGCGAGGGAGAATCTGTCTATGATTATTGCTGGTACCCACACATGTCTGCTTCAAGTACATCTTTGTGACATGATTTTTCTTGTACAAATCTTGATAAATATTTTGTAAAAATAGAAATTCAATAGAATTCTGGTTTGTATTTCAGATCCAGATTTATGTGTATTTGCAACTACTACTCGCGATCATCCTATCCATCTTTGGGATGCTAACTCAGGGCAGGTGGTGCATCACTAACATGCTTTTCTTAAGAGTCTGATCTATCCTAATAAAGCTTAACAAAAACCTCAAACTGTTAATAATACACATCATTTAGTAGTTAAGAATAAGATGGTCACCTTTTTCTATCCTAGTCTTCAAAACTTGGTCCTTTTATATACTTGTTTGTGTATTTTTCAGTAACCAACCAACCATTTCTCTGTATGGGAATTGCAGCTACGCTGTACATATCGTGCCTATGATGCCATGGATGAGATTACCGCTGCCTTTTCAATTGGATTCAACCCTAGTGGAACTAAGTAAGCATTCATTGAAAGGCCTTGAGTAATTGAGTTATACTAAGATTTTTCAATCTCATTATTGCTGCCATTTGAAAATTTCCTACTGATATTGTAATGCTACTCCTGTTGTTATGATGATGATGATGACGATGGTGATGGTATATCTATGAATGCAATGAATTCTATAATTAACAATAAAGATAGAGATGCTGATACCATACGTATTTGTGGCTTGATGAAGTAATATAAATGATTATAGTGTGTTAGTTACGGTTAAAATTTTTGAACCTGATAGATTCAGATGTGATGTTTTTAGATAAAAGATAAACAATGGATTTCGTTTAGTGCCATAAGGAAGGAGGCGAACCAGAGGAGAAGCTTCTGTGTAGTGGTTACTGACATGTTTATGATATCTATGTTTCTAATTAAAAATCCAAAATAAATGTATATCTTGGCATTAGATTTGAGTTGTGATGAGGTACCATGATCCTTTAGAGATCTTATTTGAAGTGCTTGATGGGCTTAGGTGTGCCGCCTTTCTTCTATACAATTGCTAGTTTTTATATTTCAAACATAGGGACCCACTATTAATCATACTTTTAAAAATGACTCTTGAAGATACCAAGCAAAAATTTGAAGGCCCAAATTTTTCAAAATTTAAATTCGGATATCTCCTAGAAAAAATAAAATTAAACAATCTATTTTCTTTTACGAGGGTCCAATGTTATTCGTAGTTAGGAGAAAAGTGAGCATGGTTGCTATTTTCATCTTGTCATACATTTTTTTAAGGACAATTGAAATATTGCTCGAACAAAAGGGGCACCGAGAGCCTTTGTTTATTGTTAGTTTTAAATTATCGAGGACTTCTTTATTTGAAGGGCTTTGAAATGACAAATAATAAGAAGCTAGAATGCAAGTGTTTGGCCCTTAATAATATATTAATATGCTTTGTTTTCATAATCAAAGTTATTTTTGTTTGTTTTAGAAACACACATAATGTCTAAGTGGTTAAATGTCCTTGTATCCCAATTTTATTGGGCAATGTGATTTTACGATTCTGGTTCTAGTCATAACAGTTAATAGTTGTGTATGGAATAGGATCTGATTATATGGTTATTTCTATGATCAGTAGGACTTGTCATTATCACTTGTATTGTTACTTTGCACTTCTTTCATTTAAAACAATCTTTTAAATAAGGTGCTTGTTTGGATTTCATTATATGCACATTATAATTTAAAAGTCAAAGTCAAATTTTAATTTTAACCTTACATTTATTAGGATTCACAACTACTACCCACTTTTGCACCACTAGTTTCTATCACATTATAATTTCAATAACTTGTAATGAATTCCAAACAAGCTTCAAGTCAAAATTTTCCTTGGTTCATTGTATTTTTTTAAGATTCTCAAGCCATTTATACTTTGGCTATCTATTTTACTGCCCATTTAGACATCATGTCATTGCTGATTTCTAGAGCACAGTCTTTAACAATGGCTTTATAGGTTTTAACACAAGGAGTTCTGTTATTTTACTTTTAACAATTGGCGTTTTTCCCAATTTCAGGATATTCGCGGGGTACAATAGTACTCTTAGAATATTTGATGTTCATCGTCCTGGTAGAGATTTTGAGCAACATTCGACTCTTCAAGGAAACAAGGAAGGGCAATCAGGTAATGTTTTGAGATTGCTAGATTTGATGAAGTGATTATATTGACCAGACAGGAAGTATGTGTATATGTACAGTTGCCGTCCAAGCATTGTCTTTTGGCTTTGCCATGTTGTAAAATTTGTTCTGCCAGCTTAATGCATTAGATTTCTGGAACAATTTATAAGTTACATTTTATCTATATCCTTCTCAAAATAAGGAAAATTCATACAATGCATCAGCTTGATTAAAATATCCATAGGCACAGAGAAGTTATTGATCAACTGGGTCTGGATTGATAATATGCATCGCAGAAATTGGTTACACCCAAGACACACACAAATAGTCCTACATTGACACCTTAAGAACAGTTGGTTTATATGTAGGAGTTAGAAGTATATCAACTTTTATTATAGTGGATAAGTTATGCAGCTAACAGTGTTTTTATATATAGGGTGAAAGTGGCTATCTTACCAATGGTTTGTCTATTGGATCTATTTAGCTGTTGGCAGGTCACATAAGTTTGCTCTTTCTTATGGCCAGGTATTATATCATCAATTGCTTTTTCCCCCACTCACTCTGGAGTGCTGGCCACAGGTTCCTACAGCCAAACTACTGCAATATATAGAGAAGATAACATGGAACCATTATATGTCCTACATGGTCAAGAAGGTGGGGTTACACATGTAAGTTGCTGATTGTCAGTCATCCTTCGGGCTGGGCATTTTGGGTTTCCAAGAGTGTCCCTTCATGTAAAACATTTACTTTGCAGGTTCAGTTTTCAAAAGATGGCAACTATCTGTATACTGGAGGACGGAAGGTAGAAAATTATATGGCCAGTCTTTTCATATATCCATTGTTTGTCAAAATTAAGTACTGCAATTTGCATCAGTTTCAAATGAATTCAAATGAAGTACGTAAGTGTAGACTCCTTGTGTCAGCTTTGATGTGAGGACATATAGACCATGAATTTATTTTCATTTGTCACTTAAAAAGATAAGGTGGAAAGTGAGGGAAGTACTTTTTGTCACATGAACTCTTCACAATTTGATGGAATTTTTTGGTGTGATTATTTTGTCTACTCCTTTGTTAGGGAATCTTAATTGGTGTCGAAATATAAAATTGTTCTGACATAATATGTCACATACTTGTCTTGATGAACCTGCTGATTGTGCGGGGGACAGAGAAAGTTATCTGAGATTCCTAATCTTTGAGGGAATATCCTCTTCTTCTTTAGCGCCCTTATTAAACTCTTAATGAATATTGTATACCATCCTCAAATTCAAGAGAAATTTCCTCCCAGATTGCAGAGTTGTGATAGAGAGCTGATTGGGCACAAATGAGTGATCATTCAGTTGTCTTCCTGTCTTATACATATCAAAATGAATGGATCTGTAAAGTATGGGTAATGTGCATAGAAAGATACATGGTGGCATTAAGCACATAGTTCCTCGTGTTAGTTGCTCATGTGTTGGTTTCAGGTTTAGACATGCATACAAATTGGAATATAAGTGCGTTTGTGTATAAGTAAATATATTACTAAAACCGGTTTAAACTTGTTGCAGGATCCTTATATACTGTGCTGGGATATTCGCAATACTGTTGATATTGTGTACAAGTAAGTTTCATTTATCTAGTTCGATCAGTCATGATAATCACACAATACATCGAGAACTTTCATCTACCTGCTTGGATCAGTCATGGTAATCTGATCTCACAATATATTAAGAATCTCTATTCGTATATCAAATAACAAAATGTGACCACTATCCAAATTAAACTGTGAAAAACTTTTTATAATTCCCAATGTATGATCTGGTATCACCTCTCTCATTTATGTGTCACTGCTTACTTTGTGTAGGCCAAATAGCTGCTATCTGTTATAGGCTTATAGCTCATTGAATAAAACATGGATGCTGTAACAAAGACAGCTAATTTTGCACTGAAGAGTGCAGCTTGTCGTCTCTTTGAATTCTCTTTTGATGATGGCTAACCATTTCCATCATACTTCTTTTGCTTTCCATATACTATTCAAAACTGAGTCTTTTATTGTTTTGGGTAGTCAGTATTTCCTTTCTCGTGAATGGAATTTCTTAGATATGATAGGTTAAATGAAGCAAAAGGAATTTTAAGGTTTCACTTAACTTTCCTTCCACCTGTGGTTAGGCTGTACAGATCATCTAAAGATACCAATCAGAGGATACATTTTGATATTGAGCCTCTTGGTCGATACCTTGGAACTGGTGGCCAGGTATGACTAACCTTCAACTTTTCTTCTGCCATCCGTCTATTTGACAATAATATTCAGGATCTTAATTCTTTTTATTTCTTCTGTTAAGGATGGTCTGGTTCACATCTATGACCTTCAAACAGGACAGTGGGTATCAAGCTTTCAAGCTGCGTTAGGTGTTTCTCATCTCTCTCCCTCTCTCCACACACACACACACACAAAAAATAATAAATAAAAATGGCTTGCACATGTATTTATCTTTCTTCTTGTGGTCTATAAGAAACTTGTTCTCAAAGCACATATCTTTCATCTCACTTTATCTTTGCACTTAATTTGTACCGCAGACACAGTAAATGGTTTCGCTTTCCATCCTTTCCTCCCAATGGCGGCAACTTCATCAGGACACCGGCGATTTGGAGGTCTTGATGACTTTCAAGAGAACATGGACCTGAGCGGTATTAATTGACCTGAATTCTACATAAATGTTATGTTCGAGCATCCTGCTCTACCAGGACCGCTTGTTAGCAATCAATTGTTTGTTTGTGTGAATGAATATAATCTTATGAATATGCCATATTCTGGTGATTTGCATGCTGGCTTCTAGACTTTGTTAATGTCAATGATTTTACTTTTTCACTGACTAAAACTTGATGCACAAGTACAAGATTTGGTCAAATAATGAGCCATTTCAAATCTATGGCCCCTATGCCCTTATCCGTAATGCTCATGAACACTACTTTGTTTTTCTTGTTTAGGTGATGAAAACTGTGCGTCAGTTTGGAGCTTCTCCTGTTCTTCAACGTTGGATACGTCATCAATTATTGAATCCGGAAACTGATTCTTGGCAGTCATACCATGAGAACCTCTGTCATGATCTTTGACTTGTATGTTGTCTTGACGAATGCCAACTGTATTTTATGACTGCCCAATATTAGTAACACAGAATTTATGACTACGACGTGGAGCATTACTAGTTTTGGCATGCATTGTTTATGGAAGAATGTGGTTCCACATTTTTTGAGCCAATTAATTGCTATCGATTACCATTTTTGTTCTGTTTTCATGGTTTCTGAGGTATTGTTTTCTTGATGTATGGCACACGTTTGGGATATGCAATAAGGTCCCCTTTCTGTGATTAATATACATGCTTATATGCTGTAGCCATGATTTCTATCCTGGACGAAGTAACTTGCACCTATTACGATGTGGTTAGGATCTAGATTAGTATGGAAGTTAGGTGGGATTTGTTTCTTGTGAACTTTGGTTTATTCTTGAAGGTGTGTTTCTTAAATCTTAACCTTTGTTTTGCATCTTAATTATTCGTTCTGCATGAGGAACAGCTTGCCATTTTGCAGTTAGTGTTCCTTTTTCATTAATATTGCCAGTTTGGAAAAGCTTTTAAGCTTTATTTAACGCCTATTATTTCTCAACAATTGTAAAAAATCTAGGACAGAATATGCCTTTTATTCTTAACTTCCATTTTGGTCTGTCTCTAAGAAATTTGCAAGATGGCTCTTACCACCTGTTTTTTCTCATCTAGTTAGTCTGTCTCTTATATCAAGAGGATGAAAAGATTCAAAAATTACATCTTCACTGTGATCCGCTAGAATGATGCATCGAATACGTAACTGATAAGTTACACTATACCCGGGAGTCAAGGAACTTGAATTTGACTTTAATCCCTCCAAAGAAAATGGATTCAACGTATTATGCAATTTATATAGAGAACTTTGCTTCAAGAATCGTCATCTGGCTTTCTCGTCTACGCATCACGTTTCTTTCATTCATTCTTTCCGTGCTTGGTTTGGTCTCTTGGGTCAGAATAGAAACTTCAAACATATGTAATTGAGACTAATGCCAGAAAACACCTAGAAGGCTAGAAACCTTGATTATTCTTGTTACATGGTCAGAGTCAGAGGAGAATAATTTTTTTTTTTTTTCATTGGAATAATATATAGAAAAAATGATATGGGCCACCACTGTCTACGCCATTGCTGGTACTTGCGTGCAAGTACGCTCTAATCAAACATTTCATGAAATTCATAACTTTTATTACTTTCTTTTATAGGAAATTTACTAGAAAATTGATTTTCAGCTAAACTAAATATGAGCTAAGTAAATTAAATAATACAAAATAGAATGAGCTCTGTATTCCAATGATTCATGTTGATTAAATGTTAAACAAAAAGAGTAACTTGCACTTGACATCCTACCTTTCAATATTATTTTGCAAAACGTTTATACATTCTATTTTTTTTATTTTTATTTTGTGTTTTCACTGTGTTTTCACCCTTAATTAAACATTTGATTTCACAAACCGTCATTCCGTTCATTTCTTCGTTAGTCAACCCAAAAAAAAAAAATTGACCATATTTTGATTAATTTTAAAAGGGAAAAACTATAATTTTATATTTTTCCAATAAAATAATCAAAAATTTAAATTAAAAAAAAGTAGAAACTGTTCAATTAAAAAAATATGGTGTGTTTGACTGACTTTATTTTTTTATGAAAAATGTCATTTTTGCATCCAAGTTCCTAATTTTGAAGTGTTTAATTTACATTTTTTTTATGGAAAATATTTTTCAAAAATTGGTTACATGACCACATTTTCCTCAAAAACAAGGAAACGTTTTATTCGGTCCCAAACAATCTTTATTATTTTTTTTATCTTCTATTTTCATTAGCGCCCGTCGAAATTATTATATTATTTTCTCTATTGAAAATTGAAATACTTTGAATGTATTTAATTATAGATAGTGAATTTATCTTTTCAAATTTGAAAAGCCAAACTTACTATCAAAATTAAAATGTTAATTTAAATAATTTTTTGAAATATAATTTTAAAAGTTTCTTTTTAAAATAGAGACCATCTTATCTCATATTTAAATTGTCTCTTGGAAACTCTCAAACGAGACCAAGAAATGTATGCAGCTGAACCGTCCGGTCCAATCCAGTCCGGTTTGATAACGTAGAAAGAGGCACAAAGCCTTGTGTCATGTGGTTACACGTGTCCAATTCTTGTGCGGCAAGTCAGGTCAAGGCTGGAAGAATGTTCCTGACTGCACACGTTACCTGCACCTCCAACTTGTTTGGGGAATTTTCCTTTATTTCCAATGTACTCTCATTTCCATATTTTGATTAATTTTAAAAGGGAAAAACTATAATTTTATATTTTTCCAATAAAATAATCAAAAATTTAAATTAAAAAAAAGTAGAAACTGTTCAATTAAAAAAATATGGTGTGTTTGACTGACTTTATCTTTTTATGAAAAATGTCATTTTTGCATCCAAATTTCTACTTTTGAAGTGTTTAATTTACATTTATTTTTATGAAAAATATTTTTCAAAAATTGGTTACATGACCATATTTTCCTAAAACAAAAAAGAAAACGTTTTATTCGGTCCCAAACAATCTTTTTTTTTTATCTTCTATTTTCATTAGCTCCCGTCCAAAGTATTATATTATTTTCTCTATTGAAAATTGAAATACTTTGAATGTATTTAATTATAGACAGTGAGTTTATCTTTTTAAATTTGAAAAGCCAAACTTACTATCAAAATTAAAATGTTAATTTAAATAGTCTTTTGAAATATAATTTTAAAAGTTTCTTTTTAAAATAGAGACCATCTTATCTCATATTTAAATTGTCTCTTGGAAACTCTTAAACGAGACCAAGAAATGTATACAGCTGAACCGTCCGGTCCAATCCAGTCCGGTTTGATAACGTAGAAAGAGGCACAAAGTCTTGTGTCATGTGGTTACACGTGTCCAATTCTTGTGCGGCAAGTCAGGTCAAGGCTGGAAGAATGTTCCTGACTGCACACGTTACCTGCACCTCCAACTTGTTTGGGGAATTTTCCTTTATTTCCAATGTACTCTCATTTATTTTCAATGTTACAGTATATGTCCGTGTTAGCGTTTATATGAGCTCATTTAACTTTCTTATTTTTGGATTTTTTGCTTGTGCTTAAGCTATCTGAAATTCTGAGTTAAGGAAAAGCATGGAGAAAATGACGGCGTTCCAAAGATTTTCTAGAGCTTTCCGCGAGAATTCATCGCTTACAAAAATGTTGATCGTTTTCACCATCAGGTACTTATTGCTCCGTTATTTACTTCGTGCTTTTGGATTTTTTTTCTCGTTTAGAGATGTCAAAGTGCTGCTTGGATTGGAATTTTGGTCTATATTTTTTTAATGTTTTTAGGCTTGTTTTAGTTTTTAATAAGGTTAGCACGATTTTCTCTGTTAACTGATTAATAATTTTATCATGTTTATTGGTTCAGGTGTTCGTTTCATGCGATTAAACCAGTCTCTGAATATGTTTGAAGTAATTATGGTTTGAATACTAGAAAATAGACTTAAAAGAACTTAGATCCACCGGCTAAGAATGATATGTTATTACTGCTGATAAAAAAAAATACATTATACATGGAACGACCATTTACGATTTTTCATCTGATCTGATTGATACTGTTTGATCTCCTCATGCCATTATTTGTATTACACTAATGATTTGATTTGATCTGGATGGATACTCGTGAGTCGCCATTTAAGAATGAAATTCACGATCCTCAATGGACGTATCTTGTGTCAATTTAGGCAGGTTCTAGGTAGATTTTGGTGTGGTGGTGAAATCCTGTATGATTTTACTGATACTACAGGAGCAAAACTCCATTTGTAAAATTATGTTAAGGGTTAGAAGCTGGATGGGAATTTGTTCTATATCTCATTTTTCTGCTCTTGCAGCAGCAGAATCACACTATTATTTGGTCTTGACGCAATAGCTGCACTTCACCTCTAAATAGCTTGTTCTCTGGTTTGTAATTGTATGATATAGTTATTTATCCTCATTGCAATTTTTAGTTCATCTTTGAGATGAGGCGAAAGGATAACGAGCAATGGAAAGAAATGAATGTTCTAGCTCTTTTGATGGCAATTTAACTTTTCCATTTTAAGTTACCAATTAAAGAAAAGTGTTCACTTAGTACGCCACATTTTACATGAAATAGCATCGTTTTAGTTATTAATATGAATTTGACGTGATAACTTTATCCATTCAAATCTTTTGTATATGAATGGCAGTGGTGGGGGCCTCGTAGCATATTCTGAGTCTAAACTTGATAATGGTATGAATGCCATTACTTCAACTGAGGTTGATGGCAAGAAAAAGAGGGTAGTGGTACTTGGAACTGGTTGGGCTGGAACAAGTTTCTTGAAGAACCTGAAAAATTCCTCATACGACGTCCAGGTTATATCGCCGCGTAACTATTTTGCATTCACACCATTGCTGCCAAGTGTCACCTGTGGTACCGTGGAACCTCGCAGCATTGTGGAACCTATTCGGAACATTGTCAGGAAGGTAATGGTAGCGAATAAGTAATTGTAGTCAATATATTTCTGTTGAAATACTTTATAAGTTAGTTTCATACCGTTCCTTCAAAATACTGTATATTGCCCTTGTGAGTCGTGACTTGAAATCATTGAAGTACAATTAAGTTTTTTCTTTTTTGAATTTGCAAAACAATAAAAATGCATTTTAGTGGTGACATGATCCTTAGTCTACTTAAGAGTCTATTTTCTTTGAACATATTAAATTATCAAAGGCTAGATATAATCAGTAGTTGATCTGTTCTGCATCCCCTAGAAATGGATAGAGATTCCTCATTTGTAGAGCGAGTTTTGTGATGGCTCAAAGTGACTTTTGCTGCAGCGTAATCATTAAGTTCTATAGAATGTTATTGAAGAACTTCATTGGTAGTTCAATGTTTTTCTCACTGTGGCAGAAAAGCGTATATGTTCGTTACTGGGAAGCAGAATGCTTCAAGATTGATGCAGATAATAAGAAAGTTTATTGTCGGTCTAACTTGACCACCAATCTGGATGGGGAAGAAGAATTTGTCGTGGAATATGACTACCTTGTGATTGCCATTGGAGCCCGTGCAAATACCTTTAACATTCCTGGAGTGGCGGAAAATTGCCATTTCTTGAAGGTAACATCCGCTGGCTTGCTTGACTTGTTATGGCATCAGTCTGTTCCAATATGTTCCTCAAGGCTGTAATTTAATTTCCCCGGAGGAAATAGAAAGAATCTGTCTCTCCTTTAACATTTGAGTATAAAATAATGTGATTAATGTTTCCTTAACCATGGAGCCAAACCTGAACCCTACTTGAACCATGTTAATGCATAAAATCCCACCCTTTACCCTTATCTGTATCAATGTTTTTGTACATTGTGACTCTTAATTGCACCTTGATTCATGAAACTGCTCCTCCTACAGGAAATAGAAGATGCTCAGAGGATTCGTAGGACGGTTATTGACTGTTTTGAGAAGGCCAGCTTACCTAACCTTACTGATGAAGAGAGAAAGAAAATTCTTCATTTTGTTGTTGTTGGTGGAGGTCCAGCAGGTGTGGAGTTTGCAGCAGAGCTTCACGATTATGTGAATGAAGATCTAGTCAGATTATACCCCAAGGCTAAAGATTTAGTTAAGATAACACTTCTTGAGGCAACAGATCATATTTTGAATACGTAAGACCCTTCTTACTTAAAATAGATTTCTTGTATCATAATACCACCAATAAATACTCCCTCCGTTCCACAAAGATATGCTTGCCTCATAACGAGGGCTTCTTTAAAGGAAGGGTTCTCTTCATCGTGACACTCGCCCTAGAAGAATTACTCAACGTTTCTTACCCTATAGGGATCATAATAATACTTTACTTTTCCCATACCAAGACACAGGAAAAGGCTTCCATTTTCATACAGATCAAGAAAACTTAATTAATATTGTTGGAACTATAAGTTTTACTTACGTTTTTCCTAATACACGCCTATATTAAATAATGGTAGTTCATATTTTTTGATAATAAGAGCATATTAGAAATTACCTATACTCTCAACAAGGAAGGTTGCTTATAATTTGGACAAATGAAAAAAGAAGGCAAGCCTGTCATTATGGGATGGAGGGAGTATTTGAATAGTTGTAGTTCGTCTCCTTTGCTCTTGGATACAATCTTTAGGCTGTTTAGTCTTCTAGTGTCACACAGAAGATCAAAAGCACTCAATCTCTAGGCTGTTTAGCCTTTTTAATGATACATCAGAGTCACAGAATTCCAAAAGTAACAGCGTGATGGTCCCTGGTAAATCTAGTGATGGGATTCAAGTTGCAATTCAAGTCTCTAACTCTACCCAGAGAACTGTGGCCGAAAGTTTGCTTAAATGATATCCAAATCCTTAAACATAGAGCTTGGAAATTTGAATATACAAACTGTGTTATGCATGATGTTTTGTGGAAGGAATTACTTAGTATTATATGCTTCTGTGTAGAGTATGACATATCACAAATATTGGGAGTAACATCTATAATCTACATGTAGGATGATTACACGCAGGAATGATTCTACTTCTTTTATGACATTATTTTGCACAAGCTCGTGTAGCTTTGTGAAACTACACAAGTAGTTCAGGTTTGTTTAGTTTTTTGCCCTACTGATTCACTTGCCTCCCATGTCACGAGACATATAGTACCATGTAAATGCAAGCCAGCAGACAGGCAAGGGAAAATATTTGTTTAAGATAGATAATAATTTTTAGATTCAAAGATGCAATATCTAATTTTGAGGCTTCCTTTCCTCGTGTTCTCAGAAAGTTACTCATCTGCAGGTTTGACAAAAGAATTACGGCTTTTGCAGAAGAAAAATTCCAAAGAGATGGTATTGATGTCAAAACAGGGGCAATGGTTGTGAAAGTATCAGGTAAAGAGATTTCCACTAAAGAAGTTAAGAATGGGGGTAATGTATCTTCTATGCCATATGGCATGGCTGTCTGGTCAACTGGTATTGGAACTCGTCCTGTTATAATGGATTTTATGAAGCAAATTGGTCAGGTATTATCTCAGACGTATGTTAAGTTATGGACTTGTTATTTATTTTTGACTTGTTGTCTATCACTTTTTGATTTTTTATTTTGCTCAATGTTGAATATCCATTCTATGTGCCCAGGCTAATAGACGTGCATTAGCAACCGATGAGTGGCTGCGGGTAGAAGGACGTGACAGCATCTATGCACTTGGAGATTGCGCCACGATCAATCAGCGCAAAGTCATGGTATCTATTTTTTCTCTCTCTCAGCCTGCTTTTGCCATACAGTTTGGTTATCTATATATATGATTGGTGGAATGGATAGAATTCTGTAGTAATGGCATACTGGACAACCTACTGTAGCATTTTGTGCAGATTTACACCTTTGTTTAATAGGTTTTGAAAGTAGTTGTTTGGCTGTGTTGGTGCACGTTACCTTGATTACATTGTGTATATACACCATTGCCCATTTCGTCTCATGTCCTTTAGGCAACCCAAGGAGATGATGTAGACTTTCATGTCGTGTGCCATGAATTAATCTGCTTTTACCCCTCAACTATATTTCTTTTTCAGGAGGATATATGTTCCATATTTCGTAAAGCAGATAAAGATAACTCTGGAACACTTACAGTTAAAGAATTTCGAGAAGTCCTTGATGACATATGTGAAAGATATCCCCAAGTCGGCCTCTATTTAAAAAACAAACAGATGAGTAGTTTGGTTGATTTGTTGAAAGAATCAAAAGGGGATACTGTAAAGGAATCTGTTGAAGTAAATCTTGAAGAGTTCACATTAGCTCTTTCCAAGGTAGATTCTCAGATGAAGAATCTTCCAGCAACAGCTCAGGTTGGTCTCAGAAGATATATAACGGTGGATTTGAATTTTTTTAATTCCCCAGTAACCTTTTATAAACTGAGTTTATATGCTTTATTGATGTCATTCCAGGTTGCAGCACAGCAAGGTTCCTACCTTGCTGATTGTTTCAACCGAATGGAGGAGTGTGAAAAAAATCCAGAAGGTCCTCTTCGGTTCCGGGGAGAAGGACGTCATCGTTAGGCGGGTAAGTCCATGTTCAACTTATTTTTCTGCTTTTCTCTTTGTTCCATAATAGGCTTTCTCCATAACAATGAACAGGCACTTTGGATTGTTGCCCAGCCTCCAGAGTAGTTTTTGCATATAATCTCCAGTTCACCAATCAGAATTACAAATAGGACGAATGATAATAACCATTGAGCAAAATGAACAAAATAGATGAGACTGAAGAAAAATATAAAAAGCTTCTGTTCCATCAATACTTTGGCTGCTGCCACCTGGTAGATATCTTGATGTGTACTAATTCTGTGTCATTGTTCAAGGTACAAGCATTTTGGACAATTTGCCCCCTTGGGAGGGGAGCAGACAGCTGCCCAACTTCCTGGAGATTGGGTTTCGATTGGCCACAGCACCCAGTGGCTTTGGTATTCTGTATATGCAAGGTGAGGTTTCTACTTCTCTTCATTTGGAAAATTAGGATTAACTTGTAAATAAATATTGAAACATGAACAGATCATCATGCTGAAATAGATTAATTACTAGACATAATTACTTGTTGGATAAAAAGTTTGTTAATTACTGGACTTTTATTATCCAGTAAGCTAGTCAGTTGGCGAACAAGAGCACTGGTGATATCAGACTGGGGAAGGCGTTTCATCTTTGGGAGGGACTCCAGCGGCATTTAAGAGAGTGAACAGGTTTTAGATATATCAGTAAGCATCAGAAACCTTTTGTTTGTTTTGAACCCAGGGCACATTTTCCTTTGCAGTTTTATCATTCGGCAGTCGGAACAGCTTTTGCTGCATTCACTTGTTTATTCTCACTTGACAACACTATACCAAAATTTTGCAGCTAGATGTGAAGTTAGAAAATATTCAGTCTGGACCCTTTTCGTTTGTTCGAATAAAGAGAATGCTCTATATTTTCCCACTTGTTCATGTTGAATATTTTCAATTTTCTTCTATTGTTTAAATTTTTCACCTCTTGCAAATATATATCGATGTAAGAACAGAATGCATAACCGTTGGTTTGAGACTGATTTACAGTTGAGCAAAGAATCCTTTATTTTCCTATATGGTATTGTTGGGAATTAATAGCACAATCTTCCGCCCATTCAGGTACAAGTTGAATTTTTTTCTTGAAATCTTTCTGCTTTTCTCTTTATTCCATAGTGGGCTCTCTCCATAACAATGAACAGGCACTCTGGATTGTTGCCCAGCCTCCAGAGTAGTTTTTGCATATAATCTCCAGTTCACCAATCGGAATTACAAATAGGACGAATGATAATAACCATTGAGCAAAATGAACAAAATAGATGAGACTGGAGAAAAATATAAAAAGCTTCTGTTCCATCAATACTTTGGCTGCTGCCACCTGGTAGATATCTTGATGTGTACTAATTCTGTGTCATTGTTCAAGGTACAAGCATTTTGGACAATTTGCCCCTTTGGGAGGGGAGCAGACAGCTGCCCAACTTCCTGGAGATTGGGTTTCGATTGGCCACAGCACCCAGTGGCTTTGGTATTCTGTATATGCAAGGTGAGGTTTCTACTACTCTTCATTTGGAAAATTAGGATTAACTTGTAAATAAATATTGAAACATGAACAGATCATCACGCTGAAATAGATTAATTACTAGACATAATTACTTGTTGGATAAAAAGTTTGTTAATTACTGGGCTTTTATTATCCAGTAAGCTAGTCAGTTGGCGAACAAGAGCACTGGTGATATCAGACTGGGGAAGGCGTTTCATCTTTGGGAGGGACTCCAGCGGCATTTAAGAGAGTGAACAGGTTTTAGACATATCAGTAAGCATCAGTAACCTTTTGTTTGTTTTGAACCCAAGGCACATTTTCCTTTGCAGTTTTATCATTTGGCAGTCGGAACAGCTTTTGCTGCATTCATTTGTTTATTCTCACTTGACAACACGATACCAAATTTTGCAGCTAGATGTGGAGTTAGAAAATATTCTGTCTGGACCCTTTTCTTTTATTCGAATAAAGAGAATGCTCTATATTTTCTCACTTGTTCATGTCGAATATTTTCAATTTTCTTCTATTGTTTAATTTTTCACCCCTTGCCAATATATATCGATGTAAGAACAGAATGCATAAACTTTGGTTTGAGACTGAGTTAAAGTTGAGCAAATAATCCTTTATATTCCTATATGGTATTTTTGATTGCAAATATGTGTATTTGATGGACTTGAATTGTGTTGATGACACAATACAATTGCAACATTTTTATGCAGTAGTTTTGTAAAAACCCAAATCATTATAGAATGTTTTTTAGGGACTAAATTGTAAATAGTGAAAAACATATGTTCAGAAAGTAACGAATTAAGATTATCTATAGATGAGAATGATTATAAGATGTTAGGTATTATAATAATATTGAGATGTTGAGGAAGTGAAGTGAAAATATGTTTTCGAGTCTTTTATTTCTTTGGAATAAATATTTAATTATTGAGAAGCGGGATTAATATATCAATATTGGATTCAAATTATGAACAAGACTCTTTGGTAAGTTAGGTCTAGGATAAAGTAGTCCAAAGTTATCAACCTATCTAGATTTTAAATGAATTTTTTTTCCTATATTAAGCCCCAGTTTGGTGCCTATTATTTCAGGGAAAGAAAAGAGTTTTGAACAGTATTTCTAGAAGGATGTGATTAAAAAGTAGGGAAAATTTTTGAGTTTACGTGCAGAATATTTTATTATGTAAATATGTAATTGAAAATAATTCATTAGCAAATTATTATTTTTTTTTTTCGAAAAACAATGGGTACCTGTTTCGATAAAAAAAATTGACTTTTTCATTTAACCTAATTCACCAAGCCACTGACTGTTTATTTGATTGGCTTAAATTAAATACGATTTAATTCGATTACGATTTTGATATTTTATGATGTGCTAAAAGTTGGTAAATTTCATAAAATGTACAGTAAAAAGTGGATAAAAGTTGTGAATTTAATAAAATATGTAATTAAAAATGAAGTTTGATCAATTTTTTAACAACAAAAGCTTTACCAAACCAATGCTTACTGTAAGTTCCCAAAAACAGTTGTATCACCAAAGAAGTCCAAAACTATATTGCATTGGTCATCCTTTTCATCTCAGCAGACCTCCGAGGATCTGGTTCTTCAATGGCTCTCTCCGCTAGTACGTGCTAAATTCGTCACATTGACTTCCTTACCTATTCAATCATCACCAATACAAAAATCATAAAGACGATGATGCGAGTAAAACTCCATATGAGGAAGTTAGTTGTCCTTGTTCTCTCACATTCTTAAACACAAGCAACAATGCTAAAATTGTTCAATGGAAATAGCAACATTAAAGAATGTTAATAACAAAATAAAATACCTCAAAATCAAGTATTATAAGACATGAACAAAAGATAGTACTTCTTGCATTCCTGGACTAATGATCAAAAGATGTACAAACGATAAGATCTAAAGATTCAATGTTAAAGACCCAAAATGAATCAAAACACGAGGATGTAAAGCAAACATAACTTTGTGTACATGTGTTTTGACGTTATTTTCCGATTTTAGTTCCAAAATATTAGTCTTATTGTTTTATTAAAGTTTGTTTTCGGAGATTTAAATAAATATAAAGTTGGCCGTGTTTAAATTATTTTGTTATGAAATTTCAATTGTTGTAGTATTTTCCACGAAAATTTGTTAGAAAATACATTTTAGTAACAGTTCGAGTTTATGAAATTCAGGGCGTTCTCAAGATACAATTTCAAGTTCAGGTTCTCTGCGTTCAATTTCCGACCATTCTTTTTGGTTTCAAGGGATTCATCAAGATCATAGAAGGAAAATAGAAAACAAAGTGGAATCTAATTTTATTTTATTTTTAATTTTTTGCTGATTTATAAAAGCAACGTTCTCTCCGATACAAACATTTGGTTCCATCTTCAAGGTTAAGGGCCCGCTTGGGAGTTTCGGGTACCGGTTTTGGACGTTTATGAAATGTTTGATTTTGGATGATTTTTAGTAGCGATTTTAAAATAATCAAATCCATACTTGAGAGTTTAATATCCTGAGATTCTGAAATATTTTTGAAAGGATAAAATTACATATATATACTCTTTAGTGAAATTTTCAATTTATAACTTATTAAATGAATTTTTTTTCAGTGATATTTTACTTATAAGCAATTTTTCACATATAAATTAATTTTTAATTTAAAAAGTGAAAAATTTACTTACAATAAATTTTAAGTTATAAGCAATTTTTAACTTATTAAATATTATAACTATTTAATTTTTTACACATAAGTAACTTCTTTATATTTTATAAGTAATTTTTTGTCTTACTAGTTATTTTTATTTATAAGTAATTTTTTTTAGTTATAAAGTATTTTTTTGGCTTATAAATAAATTTTTTTTTGGTTAATGTATTGTTATTTATGAGTTAATTTGAACCATATATCTGAATTGGAAATAATTATTTTATGTGAATAAAATTGGAAGAGAATTTTAGAGACGACTAAAACTCATCAATTTTGTGGGTTGAGTGAGAGGGCCAAAACTACGCTACATCGAAATCATCCAAAATTGGTGTCCAAAAAATTAATTAGTACTGGTTTTTTCAATCTCTTGTTAATTGTGCCACCCAAAAGAAGATGAATAAAGCAAGCTCTAAAACCTAACTACAAAAAATAGACCGTACTTTTAGCTGAGAAAATGGAATATGTCCATTATTGTGTGTTGATGAGAATATATTCCATTGCATGTATATAGTCAAAACCCTTCACTTTAACCAATTGGGAGTCCAGTTTCAGGTAATTCTTGAGAAACACACTTCAATTGTTCAATCTCTTTCTCATGGAAGAGAAACAGGAAAACAGCAATGTAATGATGAGTTGCATTGACACAGAGTTGGACAAGGGAAGTGGAAATCTGGTCTTGACAGATACAGTAGTTTTAGAGAGTGATGTAAGTGAGAGTGGCAGTAATGTTGGAGAAGGTGGTGGTGGTGGTACCGGTGGCGGCGGCAACGGTGCTTCTTGTTCATCGTGTGCATTTCGGTCACCACCTCCGTTCTTGTTCAAGATATACGACTTGGTGGAAAATAGCCAAACAAACTCCATTGTTTCCTGGAATTCCACAGGAACTAGCTTTATTATATGGAATGCCCATTTGTTTGCTGCTAATATTCTTCCCCAATATTTCCGGCACAACAATTTCCAGAGCTTCGTATGCCAACTTAACACATATGTAAGTACCTTCAGTTTATTGACATTTAGTCTAATTGGTTTGCTCGAAACTTCTGTTGCTGCTGTTTTGAATTGAAAGTTGATGGTTGTAAAATTTCTTCGGTGTGAATATTTGAAGGGCTTCAAGAAAATCAGTTGGGACCAATGGGAATTCAAGAACGAGTGTTTTCGAAAGGGGAAGATGCATTTGATGAAATATATAAAGAGAAGAAACCAATATCCTCAAAGCATGAAGAAACCTGTAAGAACAGAACAAAAAGTGGTTGCATCTTCACTTGATACAGAGAAGGAGCTTCAAATCTTGATGAATGATCATGATGAACTGAAGGTGGAAATCGTGAAGTTAAAGGAACAACAAGGAGCCGTAGAGAAAGAATTCGCCTCTGTCAAAAATGAAGCACTGAGCAACGCGCTGAAGAACCAGAAAAAGGTTGTGCTTATGGCGCAGACATTTATCTCACAATTAAGAGAATTGAGCAGCGACGAAATTGAAAATCCATCCGTATTGATTGAAAAACGAAGTACTGATACTTTGGCAGAGCCTGTTGATGGAAAAGTAGCCCCTCTGGTAAGAACGCATGGCAAGAATGTCATCGAGGAAACACCAGATACAAAGCGTATTCCTAAACAGGATACTGCTGGCATTCTGAAGTTAAATTCGGAGCATTTTGCTCCTTTGGAAAAACTGAAAATGGATGATTTGGCAAGTATTCGTGCAGTGGAGGAACAGATGGCCGAATTTCAGTCAAACACTTTCATTCCATTGGAGGATTTGATTGGAAGATCATGTGATTGGGTTGAGTATTTGAGTGAGCTGCAGGAAAGTAACTCATCCGAAATCTGATACTGAACTTCACTATCGACATGTTTGGCACGTTAAATTAGACAGAAGATTAGTGAAGGGAAATAAGTCCAAATCTAGTTTGTAGCCCTATACGGTTTTGTCTAAATACAATATGTCTAATATGCACTCTATAATTGATTAACTTCAACGTAAGCAGGAAAAGAAGAATCAAAGTGGATATTTTTGTTGAAAGTTGGCAAGTAATTATATCATCTTAAATTAACTTGGACAAAATAACGTCGTGAAAAAGTAAATGCTATAAAATATTAATGGTCGAGGCAAGAGTTTGACTCTTTCTCCTTAAAATGATAATGCCCCACACTGGTGCGACAGTATTCTGGCATTCGTCTCCCAAGATACAACGACCTTGACTTGTAATAGTAGCACTACAAATTACAAGATCCGGCAAACCTACTCACGTTTTGATCTCTCTAAAAGTTGGAGGACTAAAATGCACGAAATTATTTTTCGAGGCTGGATTGCAAAATATGAATAATGTAGGGACAAATGAATAATTTCGGGAGAAGAATAAAATCAGAATTTATTTTGGAGTGAATGAAAACAAGGGTATGATGACCTATTTATAGAAGTTGAAAGGTTGTGTTTAAAAGACACAACAGCGTAAAAGTCCGTCTAGACAAGCTCAACTGCCAACTGCCAATCGTCCTTCTAGAAGAATCCACGTGTCATGCATAGAAAAATTGGGAAAAAATAATAATAAAATAATATAAATCAAATATTATTTTCCCAAAAATATATATCGGCTTGGCCCAAATTCAAGCCCACGACTCATAACGTGACGAGTCGAGTGAACGGACGATGACGACGTGGGCTTTGGTCCAACCTACTAGCATGTATGTTCTCTCCTCTTTAAAAACTATTGATATTTCTTGGGGCCCAAACTCAAGTCCCAAACTTGAGCAATATAAAGTTGTTTATATTCTTATAACTTTCCTACGTGGGATTGACACTTTTCCAATTTTTCACCAATTTTTATTCCAATTTATTTCAATTTCAAGTGATCATCTTTTGACTTTAATTTCTCATTCACCTTAAATTAGTTTTGAGAAAATAAATACATTACATAAATCTACTCGTAGAGTAGAATACATTCGATCAAAAAAATATTTTGTCCAACTAACGGGACCCACTAAATTAATTGGTCAAAAGTTGGTCAAACCAACTAATAAAATCCAATTTTCCAACCGTTTTCACTATGGTAGAGCTCCTTTCTCTGCATAAGTAACCAAATGACTTGCAAACAATATGTTTGATTGGATTCGGATATCTGAATTTGCTATTAGGTGAACTGTTTACCTCTTTACTGATAGCAAGGCCCGACTGTTTCTTCACCGTCACTTGCTTGATAAGGTGGGATGTACAAGATTAACATTAAAATTCTACTATAATTTCTTCTGTACTGTCTAATTTTTATTTAATACCGCGTGCCAAGAATTTTCTGTTTGCTCACTTATTTAAGTTTGCATAATTGCATTGTTGAAGGAAACATGATGTAGTTGTACATTCTTCATAGCAATCTTTGCTGCTACACCATTGTATCATCCGCTACTTGCATTAATTACGTGTTTGGAGCGATATTCTTCAATAAGATAATGACAGCCCAAGTGCAAGCCCAAATCTTCTAACCATTTCTAAAGGAAACAATACACGAAACCTACATATAGAAATTACTTTTCAAAACTAACAAATTTGTCTAATTATTTCAAAAATCAGGTGGTAAATAGATTTATTAAATATTAAATTATAATATAATATATATTAATTATTTACACCCCATGACACCTCACCCACCCCCATCACCTCACTACACCACCTTCCCTCCATCTTCGGCGATGGTCCGGCGACTGCTCCTACGACTGTTCCGACTATTACTCAAGTGGCCGCCCTGGTGACTCTCCGGCGATCACTCTGGCGGCTATTCCGACGATCACCCCGACGCCCGTTCTAGTCGCCAACTTCCAAATTTTTCCAGAATTTTTTTGTCACAATCAGTCACAATTGGTCACCACAAGTCACAATCGGTCACAAAAGGGCACAATCGGTCACAACGAGTCACAATTCACTAGTCACAATTGGTCACATTCGGTCTCACAAACAGTCACAACGAACTACTCGGTAGTCAAATCGCGATCTGGTCATAAATCAGAAAAGGTTCGCCGACACCACCAATTCCGATGGCAGCCTCCTTACTTTGTAGCGGCGCCGACTACGCAACCACCACCACCACCACCACCACCACATCAATCCAGTCATCCTTATACCCACAACCATCACCATACCCTATTGTAGAAGTAAAGAACAACATTCGAAAATAATAAAATCCCACTACAACCGCCTGTATCAAAAATCATCACAGCCACCTCCTCAAATCCACCATCTCCTTCATCTCTATCACACCACAACCATCACCACCGCACTAAACAAATGAGTAGAACATAGAAGATATGACAAAGAAATCATATCGCACATGCAAACACAAATACAAATGAAGAAAAAACATGGTATGCTGCTCACGCAGCACAACTCATAGGGTCGACTCGCTACTGCGAGCGACGCCTCGCAGCAAGCTACCGTGCGCGGAAGCGTAAATGAAGGGGTGATGGGCACCGAAGATTATGGAATGTGTTGATTGGTCGCTGGCCGCGGTGGCTTTGCATAGTGCCGCTGCGCAAAAACATCGTTTAGCGTCTTTTCGGCATAGCATCGCTGTGGAGATCAACGTCGTTGTCGCCTTCTCTGTTGCTGTCTTCCGGCGGGTAGAGATAATGGGTACGCCGATGCCGCCTTCTCTGTTGCTGTCTTCCGACGGGTAGAGATAATGGGTTATGGATGAATTGGGAATTTTTGGGGAATGGATGAATTGGAAATTTGGGGTGAGGTTGGGTTGGGTGAAGGGTTTGATAGGTTTAATTAAATTTTAATAATTATAATTATAAAATATAATTACCACCTGAATTTTAAAAGGTAAACTTTATCACCTTACTATTGAATTGTAATCTTAAAAAAAATGGTTGTAGGCAATTTTCTCATTTCTAAATGACAGCCCATCACCCCAGCCTCATGAATGTACCATCCAAAGAGCAGGAGGAGGAGATGTATAGGAAGAGGAGGTGTATAGGAGTGGCAATTGGTCAAACCAAGTCAATTCGATCTTTAGACACTTGAGCCAAGTCGGCATTTTATTTATTTACTTTTAATAGAACAGTAAACCCATGAGCCTAAAATAAGTTGGCTCGTGGGTTCGTGAAAAAAATTTGAGTGTTTGATCCACAACTTGTCACAGTACGAACTTGAGCTCATGGAAGGAGTCGGGACGATTCGAACCTATAAGCGACTCGACTTTTTGCCACCCATAGAGATGCCCATATAGTTAAGCACCCCCACCTCACCCCACCCCAAAATTAAAATCATAAACACAGACAGACACAAAATAACCAATAGTACAGGAATTGGATAGTGATATAGACGTGGAGAGGGATAGGGATGATTGCTGGTAACATGGGCTTCTTAAAGTTTGGGAGACAATAATTTAGGTGTATGTTTTAATCAAAATTATTTATTAATTCTCCAAACCTAATTCAATCATTGCCCTAAGAATTAAGATGATGGTACATTTTTGGTCCAAAAATTACCATTTAACAAATTCTATTTACAAGATTGAATTTTTATTTGATTCCTAATAAGAAAATTTACCTACAATTTTGCACTTTGTATTTTTTTTATTTTCTTATCTTAAACACCAGAGGAACGAGTTCAGATAGAATTGAATTTGGAGTCAGGGTGCTAAACAAAGGGTAGAAAATCTTTTTGAAAATAAATAAATCGATAATTAAATTAGAAATGAATAATTTGTATTCTTGAAAGCAAATAAGAGAGAATGGACTCCTCACTCGTGCTCGAATGAAGAAGAAAATGACTGTTCTTTGTATTTGGTCGGGCTCTCACGTGCTATATAACAAAATTCAATAATGCAGCTTGCATAGGGTAGTTGACAAGGGGCAGCGTTGACAGCACCTGATTGGGTGTTTTTTTCCTAACTGTCCAATAAAATGTGTTTTTTAACCCTATCATTGACTATGTTTATGTAGCTTAATTGAACAAAATTAGAGTTGATTGAAGGTCAACTGGAAGTTCATCGAATAAGAGTTTTGACCATTTTAATCAAAAAGAAATTTCGTATTACAAAAATCGAAAATGATATCTTGCCCATGTTTGGTCTGGAGTAAAATTAAATTAAAATCTCAAGTCAAAATAAAAAATTTATTTTAACCACAATTTCATGAGATTCACAAATATCATCAAATTTTATCAAAATTTACTAAAAAAATAATTTTAATATAAACCAAACATCAGCTTCTTACGTTAATCATTATTTGTGTTCCAAAATTTATTGGTAAAAATGTTAATTTTTCTTCTTTTTAATTTTTTTTATTTAAACACAATTCACATTACGTTCTAAGGACATCTTCAATGGTTTGCACCAATTTAGTTTAGTGTAACTTTTACACCAAATTGGTGCAATTTTCACACCAAATTATGATAACCTCTCTAATGGTTACACTAAATTTTAATATTTTTTTTATTTACTTACTATTTATTTAAAAAATTTTACCCCAAATGATTTGTTTTTAAGATATTTATGTTGCTCTAGTGCTGATTTATTCTTAAATTCTAATTATCAAATTTGTAAGTTTTGAGTTTTTAATGAACAATTTTAATTTATTAAATAATACTTATTACTTAATTATAATTTAAAAATAAATAATAAACAAAATAATAGTTTCATTAAAACAAATATAAATAAATTCAAAAATAATTAATTCTAAAATGAAAAATAAAAGATATAGAAGGAACAACAATTTGTTGTAATAGAAAATGAATGGCATAATGGAAATAATAAATTAAACCAAGTTTTATCAAATGCATAGCATTACACAAAATTTGGTATAATACTATTCATTATACCAAATTTTACACTCGAGATGCCCTAACGACGCCCATTGTTCTGAATTCGAACTTACACTCGGATAATAACTTTGTTTAGAGAATGTCACGTAGTATTCTGTCATTGAACATTTTTAACAAAAAAAATTATTTTTGTCATTGGACAGTAAATTTACAACCATGGATGACAACTTTCTTTGCCGAATGTCAAGTGGTATTTTCTAATTGAGCAATTTTAACAAAAAAATTAGTTTTACGACCAATAATTTTTTGCCAACACATTAGTGTTAACAAAATTGTCGTCTGTGATTGTACAATTATCATCGTACTTCTAGCCTGCGTCGACATGGAATGAGCATACGTGTCAAAAAATGAGGATGGTTGTGCAAATCACACCGCGGTGCAGATTAGACGCTGCCCTTGCTATCAATGCTTCATTTCTGTCAACTTTAGTTAAGCCCTTGTTTGACAAACGTTATTTTGAAATTTTATTTAATTTTAATACTCATTTTTCAATCACGTAAATTCAATTTTTTTAATAATTTTTAATTACATTGAAAAAAATCACTATTTAAAACTTTATTTTTGACGAAATAATGACCGAAAGAGGGGCTAAGGTAGTGGTGGAGTGCCTAATAATTAATTTAATAATTAAAACCCCTACCTACGTACTGTCTTTTTAATAATAATATTCTTTTGGTACTCTGTTTGATTTTGTTTATCGCTATAATCTGCAAGTGGTTAGCTTCTTGTTTGCCTCTTCAGGTTCTCCAACCATTCAATACAACACAGAGAGACTCCAATAATACACGTATGAATTTTTGCATATTGATATGTAGAAAGGATATTTTCTGATTTGGATTATTACGTTTCGTGATGGATTTCTGATTTCAGTTATTGGATTGACATAGGTATGTACATTCTATAAATTTTTTGCTCATTTTCTACGATTTTGAAGCTGCTGAACATGCATTATTATGAAATATTTTTGAAGAATTTTCCAGCAAAACGCCTTTCCACCACTCTCTGCGTATAGTACAAGCGCGGTGAGCAAGATTTT